AAAAAAGAAAAAAAAAAAAGAGTACCTACCTGGTATTATTATTCACCTTCTAACTATAATTTGGCTGAAAGTTGAACCAAGGGGGTGTTCCAGTTCCAGGCTTGAATGGTAATTAAGGACCATAGTCTTGGGGGTTCTATAGTCCCTATCAGACCAGTAACCCTGGTTTTTTTTACTTTTTATTTTTTATGATTTTGAGTTTTGTTCCACAATTTTTTTCCACTCTATCCAAGACCTCCTATTGTGATCTCTTCTAAACCAAGGGGCAGTAGCTGGGCACCATCTAGTTCTTCTGGTCCCAGAGTCATGGAGGCTAGGGTTCATGTGGTCCATTAGTCCTTTGGACTAATTGTTGACATGCATTTTTTTTTTTCTTCACTCTTCTTTGCTTCAAACAAGGAGAGATCAAGAATTGTACCTTAGATGGCTGTTCACACACCTTTATGCCCACAGAGTTTTCTTGGCTGTAATTTTTACCAAAGCAGATCACAAGTTCTTTCTCCTGCAAAGCCACTGGGTGGCTTTGAACTACCAAGCTTTGGGTTAGCAATTTAATTGTTGTGCCACCAGGACTCCTTAGTTTTACCATAGCTATTTATAAATGGAAATGTAAATAAAAATGACCTCTGATATGTTGGTTTTACTGGCTTACATAGGAGATCTCAGACATCTGATTTATACATAGATGGGAAGGGAGAAGGGTCAAAAAATTTTTTTTCTTTTTTAGTGCCTACTATGGGCATGGGAGCTCTGGTGGCATAGTGCCTAAGGCATTTGACTGCTAAGCAGAAGGCTGGCAGTTCATACTCACCAGCCACTCCTCGGAAAGAAGATTGGCAATCTACTTCCATAGAGATATCGCCTTGGATACCCAAGGAGGGGTTGCTGTGAGTTGAATTGACTTGATGGCAGTTAAGTTTGTTTTGTTTTTGTTTTATGAGCATAGGAAGGCCCCCTGGTGGCACAGTGGCTAAAGCACTTAGCTGCTCACTGAAAACTCTGTGGTTCTAACCCACCAGCCACTCCGTAGGAGAAAGATGTGACAGTTTGCGTCTGTAAAGAGTACAGCCTTGGAAACCCTGTGTGGTAATTATACTCTGCCCTTCAGGATTACTATGAATAGGAATCAACTCAAGGGCTACAGGTTTGTTTTTGGTTTTATGGGCATAGGATCTTCATTGCCTTATCCACTTAATCTCAAAAGAGCTCTAAGAAAGGAGGCTGGTAGGTGTCAGAAACTCTTTTCATTGTTCTATCCCCCTTCCCTATCAAATGCTAAAAAGAAAAAAAATTGTTTCTCTGCCCACCTTTCCAGGTGCCTCTTAATGATGACCTCGTTGTCAGTACTGGATATAACAGTGGCTTGGCTACGGTACATGTAAGTATTTCATTAAGAGTCGATGGGGAGTTACATGGTTCTTTGTACTAAAAAAAAAAAAAACAAACTCACTGCCACTGAGTTGGATCTGATTCATAGCAACCCCTTCTTGGGTTTCCAAGGCAGTATCACTGTGGAAGTAGATTGCCCAACGTTCCTTCTGAGGAGTGGCTGGTGGGTTTGAACTGCCAGCCTTCTGGTTAGCAGTCAAATGCCTTAGGCACTAAGCGTAAAAGAAAGGGAATTTGCCACAAAATCACAGAAATTTGGGCCTGGGTAACCATGTCAAAAGTAGGATTCATTTATCTAATTCTTTCTACCTATCTTGGTAACTAGGAGCTCTGGTGGCATAGTGCCTAAGGCATTTGACTGCTAACCAGAAGGCTGGCTGTTTGAACCCACCAGCCACTCCTTGGAAGGAAAACTGGGCAACCTACTTGTGTAGTGATACCACTGCCTTGGAAACCCAAGAAGGGGGTGCTATGAGTCGGAATCAACTCGAGTTTGTTTTTCTTTTAATCTTAGTAAGTGTCTTCACAATTTCTAATTGAAAATGGCTATGTTAATATTGTATGTATGTAGTCTATGAATTTGTGGAAATTAACGTGTGTAATTATATATGTATGCATGCATATATAATTTTATGGTTATATATATAAATGCATGCTATCTATATGTATATGTTGTTGTTGTTGTTATGTGCCGTCGAGTCAGCCCTGACTCATAGCGACCCCTCCTTGGGTTTCCGAGGCAGTATCACTACGGAAGTAGGATTGCCCAACCTTCCTTCCGAGGAGTGGCTGGTGGGTTTGAACCGCCAGCCTTCTGGTTAGCAGTCAAGTGCCTTAGCCACTATGCTACCAGAGCTCCAGGCATATCTCTTCATCATCATTGGAGACTAATGTAAGGGCTAAAGTTTATTTTATTTCAGCCATTTGGCATTTGCAAGTTTTCCCAAATTGTTGGTGTAGTCCATGTATTCTTAAACAGTGTATTCTGAATGTGTAATAACATTTCATTGATTACTTTAATTACGCTCTATGTTTTAGTACATTTATTCATTCAAAGCCTTTTGTATAAGATGTATGGGGAGGGGTGGTTCACTTTTCTGTCACTTCTAGATGCTCTCATTATGCCTACTTCTGGTAGCACCTCACCCACATACATCTATAATTTATTGTTTATTATGTTAATGTATGAGCTGCAAGAAAGCCACACTTCCTGATATCATAGGGTTTATGTGTAAAAGTAGAGCCTAAAGGCTTTAGGGCAAGCCTTGTGAACTTTTCTGTAGAGTGAGGTGCTCAAACTTGCCTGCCCAGGATTTGGATCAATACTCTGCCTGGCCAGAAATCATTTTGGGCTTATTTTAAGGTTCTCAGCTATGTTGCAGCTTGTGGAGTTTGCTGAAAGTCTAATCACTGGGAAGAGGGTCATAAATGTGCCCTATTTGTTCTGTTGTTGTTGTTATGTGCCCTCGAGTTGGACCTGACTCAAAGCAACCCCTCCTTGGGTTTCTGAGGCGGTATCACTATGGAAGTAGATTGCCCAACCTTCCTTCCGAGGAGTGTACTAGGTTATGAAAATAATACTTCAAGCTTCTGATTTACTGCAACAGTATTACCATAAGACTTCTCTTTTCCACTTCAAATAGAATTTTCTTGTTTATTTTTCCCAATGTAGGTAACAACTGTAGTTCACAAAACCAGTACCTCTGAGGAAGTCTGTAGCTTTCATTTGAAAATTGAAACCCAGGACATTGACGGTAAAATAGCATCATTTATACTGTAGTTTTGGCTAAGGATAAAGAACGTCAGATAGTTAATCTGATTAAGAAAAAAAAAATGTGCTTTCTCAAAAAACGAAATGTTTCAATCACATTTCTTAGCAGATTGATATGCAAGTCAACATTACTGCCTTTTATTAAAATGGAGACAACTCTAATAAGAATTTGAAACTGTTATTAACTAACTCCATAACTAAACTAAATGTGTTCATTATTGATGAAGAAGTTATTTAACTAACTACATTACTTTTCAGTAATGTAAGTAGTTGTAAAGTCACAGAAGAGTCTAATTCTAGAACCTTGGATTTTTGTCACCTTTGTATCAGAATTCCATCCTATGACCCTGAATTTCTGTTATCACCCTGCCAGGGTTCCATCCTTTAGCCTTTCTATTCCACACAGAGTCTGGCAAATACATATTTCTATGCCTCCACCTTCAATTTGGTCCCTGCTGCTTATGGTCCTAATGTGTGCGTGTGTGTGTATACCAAACCCACTGCCATTGAGTTAATTCCAATTTATAGCAACCCCCATTGGGTTTTCAAGGCAGTAAATCTTGATGGAAGTGGATTGCCCTGTCATCCTCCTGTAGAGCAGCTTGTAGGTTTGAACCACCAACCTATTAATTAGCAGTCAAATGCCTTAGGCACTGAACCACCAGAGCTCCATACATATATTTAATGTATGACCTTCACATCCCTCTGCTAGTAGATTCTCCTGGCCCAGTCCAAAAGCAAGCCCACTTGCACACTGCAGGCCTCCTCTGACCGTTGCTCCTGGGGTCAGGGTGAGCGCTGCTGCTCTGTCCTGATGCCTTTCATTTGTGGCTCAGAGGATTGTTTCTACAAGAAACTTTCCAACAACCAGGGAATCCAGGAATCTGTTCTCCCTTCCTCCAACATCCCCCAAACACGTTCTCAATCCATATTTACCCTAAATGATTTCCTTAAATTATAAGTTCTTGGAGAGCAGAAAACTGGTTCACTTTTTTAAAGATTTCCTGTTGTAGTCAGTAGCCATGAATTTCCACTAAAATCACCTAAAATGCCAACTTCCAAATCACAACTCATTTTTAAGTGTATTCAGAGATATGCTTATTAGTGATTCTGTTCTGACAGGTTCCAAAACAGCTTAAACAATCTACTCTCCTTTCTGTTGTTGTTCGTTTGTGTTCTTGCTTGTTTGATGTTTGAACTAGCACCCAGCTACAGAGTCTACAGCCAATCCGGGTACAAGCGCATAGTGGCATGCGCCAGGTGAGCCCACTTCCACAAAGCATTTATTTTGTAACCCCATAGCATCATCCCTTTAGAGCTTTTTAAATTTTAAGATGGCCAGAAGATACATACTTATTCACCTTTTTTATGCAGAACACACATGTATTATTAAACAACTACTTACTGTAAAAAATACCTTTGTTTTTGCTCATATTGGTTTTTTCTCCTGATTTTAGTCTTCTTCCTAATTCAAACACTATTAAATTAATATTTTCTGTCTTTCAGAAGGGTAGAGATGCTACATAAGTGTTGCGAAAAGAAAAGTCAAAAGATCCTCTCATAAGCAGCTCCTACTCTCTTCTTACCTGGAAAAATCACAGTCTCCCAGCAAGATCCCTGGCCATTACTGGTTCTCAACTGAGGCTCCATTGAAGTCAGCTGGAAAGCTTTTAACAATTCCCAAAGCTCAGACCTCTCCCCCAGAGGTCACTCTAATGATAGCCAGGGCTGAGAATCTCTGATTCCAAACCCTCTGCAGACACTCTAACCCCGCTGTTGTTGAGTTGATTCTGACTCATGGCGACCCCATGTGTGTCAGAGCATTACTGTGCTCATAGGGTTTTCAGTGGCTGATTTTTTAGAAGGAGATCTCCAGGCCTTTCTTCTGAGTGCTGCTAGTGGATTTAAACCACCAATCTTTTGGTTACCTGCCAAGTGCATTAACCATCTGTACCATCCAGGGACTCTGCAGACTTACCACAGAGACCAGTCTATTAGTTTCCTATTGCTGCTCAACAAAGCACCACAATCTCAGTAGCTGAAAACAACACAAATGTATTATCTTATAATAATATATATAAGATAAATTATCTTGATATAAGGAGGCCAGACTTCCTAACATCCAGGTGTTCACAGACTGTGTTCCTTCTGGAGGCTATAGATGAGAACCCATTTCCTTGCCTTGACCAGCTTCTCGAGTGCACCTGCATCCCTTGGCTCATAGCCCATTCCTGTATCTTCAAAACCAGCAATGTAGCATCTTCCTGTCTCTGTGTCTCTGATTCAGATCCCTGCTTCCATGATCCCATCTCTTTCTCTGACTCTCCTGCCTCCTTCTTTCCCTTATAAGGATAATTGTCCAGGCACTCCCTGGATTGCAAACAAGTTCCATTCCTAAATCTGACTTTAAATAGAATTTGTACCTGTCAGAACAGTTAACTACAATTTGTAGCTAACATCAGTTAGTCAAATATTTCTCTTAGTATATGGTATATAGTATAGCTTTATATGCATTAAAAAGTATTAAAGATACACTAAAAACATTTTAACATAATAATACAGTAATAATAATGTTTTGATGAGTGTCACAAAATAATGTCCATTTGTTATTATGAACCATTGTATGTGCATGATGTTTTTAATATAATAGGATTTACAGGGCTTAGTTCATAACTACAAGTTGTATGTAAATCAAACCTTCATAATCCTGGGACTGGGAGACTGCCTGTAATTATATTGAGATACCCAGATAATCCAGAATAATCTTCCTGTCTCAAGATCCTTAGCTTAATCACATCTGCAAAGTCCTTTTTGACATGTAAAGTAATATACTCACAGGCATTAGGGAATAAGACATGACATCTTTCAGGGAGCCTTATTCTGCTTATCACAACCACTGTCCTTAGATGTTCTTGAAAATAACAGATTTTTGAAAGTATTAATATATTTTCAATCTTAGTAATTATACAGAGTGCATCGGTTAGTGACAGAGCCAGGTCTAGAACACAGGCCTCTTCACTCTTCTTTACATCACCTCTCAATCCCTGCCTTTGTGTTCTATTTCCTTAACTCTTCATATTTTCAATAACAGTGATTTCTATGGATAGAAAATTTGCTGTCTTATAATCACACATGATGCCAAAGCACTCAGTATGGATAACTTAGAAATTCCATAGAACTATGTAATAATTTAGAGCTAAAGAGGATTTTAGGGATGATAGAGTAACCCCTGTTTTAGTTGTTTCCCAGCCACATTTGCAGTTACTAGCCCAGTTACTCTCTTCTTAGGATTCATCCACTCCCCAGCCAGCTCCAATCCCTACCTCCTTCCTAGGCCAATCCAGTTCTGTTTCCCCTCAGACACCCTTCTTCATCTCCAAGCTCTTTCCATCAAGGTTGCTGTCTCATTGGCACCTTCCTTCCTCCTACTTGCTGTTCCTACTCTTGGGTACCTGTCTACTGGGGCAAAGGAGGTAGTCATGGTTGTTGTCTTTAAATGCATAAATGTTGTCATGGGAAGTATGAATAAACTTGTTCTAGCCAGAGCTAGAGGCCATGCATAGGACCTTGCAGAGAGACAACTAGAGTCAACATGTATAAGGGTGGCTGGCTGACAATGGACTGGGAGACCTGTATGGGTACTCTGCCAGGAAGTACCCAAGTGACCTTTAGCAAATCAGTTTCTCTCTCCTGGCCTCTTCTGTAAAACAAGAATATTGGACTAGCTCATCTTAAAGTTTCTTCAGCTCTAATTTTCCATGACTGTGCTAGATATAAAAAGGCTTTTATTAAAAACTTAGTCTTTGACTTCATTGACAGGACACCTAATTCCAAATTCTGAAAGAGAGTAAGTAGAGATATAATATTGAATATTCTATCCTTCGGTTTTTACAAATTGGGAACAGAATGTTCAAAAATGATGGGTGGAATATACTTCTGGCTCTGTGACACTGAAGTTAGCTTGGGCAAACTCCAAAAGCAACTGTGCAGTACTGGTGCACATAAAAAATTCTTTGCTGTCAAATATTCTCTTTCCTGATTAAAAATGCCAGCACATAATTTCTATGTTCAGAAGCTCTCGTTCATGTACTTAGCTTTTTACAACCTCTCTGTTGTATTCATAAGAAAAAGGAGGGAAAAGGATTTTATTCCTCTTTTTTTCTCAGAACAAAATGCCTTTGGGGAAGATTGCTGTCTTTGGCAGCAGGCAAAGGGCTTCTTGAAAGGAAGGTTTCTGTTCCATGGGTGAAACAGTCTCCATGGCAACCAGTCATCAAGGCTCCAGCAACCTTTTCATAGATACTTTCCACTCGGGAGGCCCTTTTCCATCCTCTTGACAGAGTATTCACATCTGTGAGCAAGAGTTCTCTGCTTCTGGTGACACCCACCCATCCCGTGGGGAGAAGTCCAGCTGTCATATTATGATTCTAAGATGATTTATATTCTCTTCTAAATTGCTCGTTTGATGGAGAATAGGTTAAATGTTTATGGGTCAAAGATTTTGTAATAGTTTAATTATCATGGTAAACATTATATCTAAAATTTCTAATAGGATCTGCTTTACATATGTTCTGTAAGGTGTATTTGGGGAAAAAGTATCCCCTGCCACCTCACTAACTCACAGAATACCTCCATGTCAGTAATACTCATTCCTTTAGGGGAGATCTTTTAGGGGAGACCCTTTTGAGGCTGTCTTCACAATATGTTCCTCAATTCTAACTGCTCTTCCAAACTTTCAAATGCCTATCTCCCTCCCAGTGTCACATTGATGGTAGGCTTATACCTGAAACCAACCTTGCAGAACCACACTCATACTGCCCCTGCCCCACCTACCTGCCCCTCTTTTAAGTCCCCTAACTCTGCTTAATTGGAGCACCAAAGCCTCTGCCACCCAAAATCGAGACCTGAGAATTATGAAGTAAATTTAAGAATAAGTTTATACTTCTTCAGAGTTAATTTTACAAATAAGAGACTGAGCTCTAGAAAAGGAAAATGATTCATGGACGTCTCTCACTAGAACTGGGATAAAACCCAAGTTTCCTGACTCCCTGTTTCAATGTTCTTTTCTCTTACTGAAGGAAAAAAAAAAAAAAAAAAAAACTCCCTTTGCCTTTCTCCTCAGCTTCCCACAAGTACAAGTCCTAGCAAGGGATAGGCCTTGAAATGATTTTATGAAAAATTAAGGCTCTATTGTGACCATTGTGGAAAATAGAGAAAAGTAACTATGGAGAAGAAAAGAGGCAATCAGTTGTAATCTCACCACCAGAGAAAATAGCTGCTGGCATGTATTTTGTTCCAGTTTTTCCTAGACATGTTTTTGAGTCTCTCCTCAATATATCTTTAATTTTCTTTTTTGAGTATGCTTCATAGAAAAAGGTCTAGAGTGAGAATCAGGAGACCTAGGTTCTTATGCCACCATGATATAAACTAGCCATGTGCTTTAGTTTCTTCATGTTGTAATGACAGAGATATCACAAGTGGGTGGCT